GCCTGCACTCTGAAGGACCCTGGAGTCCTGAGAGGTACCCAGAGATGGCCCTGAGGTTTTTCTGGAGGCAGGGGGCACTAATGGCTGCTGAGGACCACTCGGGCCTGGGGCAGATTTTTCCAGCCCCAGCCCCTCCCGTATCCAGGTAACTGATGCCAGAGATCAGCGCTGCAGCTGGGTCTCTCTGCCGCTACTCAGTGCCATGTAGGTGAAGGACAGATGATTCTGTCGTTGCAGGGTAGGTGCTGCCTGTGGGCCTGGCCCCTGGACTGATACAAGAGAACAAAAACTGAGGGGTGCCCGGCAGGAGGTCATGGGGTCTTCTGAGGCAGCCATTTACTGTAATGGCTGTTCCATCTAGACTCCCCACTGGGGCTTAGAGAAAGTTGTCAGTGATCTGATTTGGCTCAAAGTCAGTCTGGGATGTGAGGTCTTGCCCATTCTCCTCCACAAAGTTTGTCTTGGATGGGACTTCGTCCCATGAGCACACCCTGGGGCTGGAGAGTCCTAAACACGAAGCCTGCTGGGTCCCAGAGGGCCCCGCCCAGCCAGGGCAGCTCCAGGATTCCTCAGTGTCCACTGAGAGCAGGAAGGGGAAGCTCGCAATTCACAAAAATATCCACTGAACCCTGATATAGGAGGCAGGAGTCTCATACCAGAGCAGAGTCACCGTCCAGGGTGGAGAGCTGGGCTCCCCACGTCCGCGCAAGAGGGAAAGGCGGGAGTTCGTCCTCAGGCTGGCCGTGGTTTGCTCTAGGAGTGGGCTTTGCTGCTGCATTTCCTCTCTGCCTTTTTCTGTGTTTTCTAATTTTTTTTGGCGATAGCTCATCATGCTTTTATAAACAGAAAAAAAGTGCAAAATATTTTTTCAGTAATCTAGAAAGCTAGTTGAAACCAGTGGAAAGTCAGACATAGCAAAATTCCAGGTGAAGGAGAGCTGCGGAATATGAGTAGCTGCTGAGGCTGTCTATCCTGGGAATCTGGCAGATGGATTGATAGTGGGGTTATCTAGCCTATGGCCACACCATCCTGAACACCCTGGAGTTTATCTGATAGTGAGGTTATCTAGTCTGCCTCCTGATACCCAGAGTGGAAGTGACTTGCCCAGGGCTACTGGAGGAGCGGATGGTCCCGGAGCACCAGGGCTCTCACCTGCACCGGTGGCCCGCCTCTGCCAAGCCCTGGGCAGAGTGGGAGATCTGGATTCTGCCCTTGGAGCTGAGCAGCCTTAATTCCAGAGGCTCAGCCAGAGCGATAAATAAGCCGGGCAGAGGGCTGTGTAAAGGACTTATGTAAGTGACTTTGCTCAGTGTGGCTCACCCAGCGAGGCACGGACAGGGTGGGAGGCTGTTAAACCAAGAAAGATCTTAAGTTCTTGTGCTAGGGTGGACACTGCTGTCTTGATGTTCTAAGGGTAAGGGAACTTCGGAGGGGTGTGTGTGTGTGTGTGTGTGTGTGCGCGCACGCGCATGTGTATGTGTCTGTGTGTGGTGGCCAGCTTACCCCACCCTGCCATGGAAAGAAAACCTCCATTCCCTCCATGGCTGGGAGAGCCTGGGAACAGGGCAGGGTAGTCCTGTCCTGGGGACCACCTGCTGGGCCCATGGCAGTGCTGAGTGGTGGCTGCTTTGTCCTGGCAGTGGCCTCTCAGAGCTCCTGGGAAGGGTGGCAGGGCACATAGGGGATATCTAGGGAGCCTGCAGAGGAGGGGCCGAGCCAGAGGGAACCATGCCACTGTGGTTTAATTCCCCACTGAGATGTGAGTGAGAGCGAGCAGAGGGGGGCAGATGGTGGGTGATGGGGGGGGGCAGGAGAAGCCTGGAGCAGAGCCCATCTGTGGGGCTGAGCTGGCTCAGGCAGACGGGCAGCCAGTCTGGGTCAAATTGTGAGCACAAAGGGATTTTTCCTTGGCCACCTCAGCTGATGACCACTGCAAGGGCACTTCATATCAGTGACACAGCCGTCCACCAAGCAGATAAAAAAAAAAACTACAGGCTTAGAATAGGAAAGATTATGCAAAAAGGAAAAAAAAACCATGCAGTATTGGAAAAGATGCGGAGGCTCAGGAGGGAAGTGGGGGGTGGTCCCCAGAAGAGAGCTGCACAAGGAAAGAAACTAGAGCACCCAGAAAGTGCCTGGATTTTTTGGGGGGGAGTCTTTCCTCCAGTTTGCTTGGAGAAAGGTAGGCTTGCTTCGTCCTCCACTGAGATCTCAGCCCTCCCCAGCCAAGCCACCTGAGTATAGACAGCCCTGGAGTTGAAGTCACAGGCCAAGCGTGGGCCAGGTTCCCGTCATCGAGCGCCACAGTGCTGGGACCCAGGCCCAAGCAGAAATGGGTGGTGTTTCTGCAAGGAGCCTCTGCACAAAGCAGACCTTTAGTGTCGTCAGCTTCTTCCTGCCAGAGCCCCATCACCAACCCCAGTTCAGCCCCTGTCCTGGGGGCTGTGGCCTCCCTGGATTGCAGCCTGCATGGCTGAGCTGGTTAGCACATGGCTCATTAACGGAGCAGTGGCTGGCTCTTGAGGGCTCAGGCAGGCGGCTGCCTGTGGCACGGGGCTGGGAGCATCACCACCCTCCCTGTACCCACCCCATGCCAGGGGAGGAACAGACTTTAGAGATCCAAATGTGGTCCCATGTGGTCGGGGGGTGTGGGGCATCTGTCCCTCATCCTGCTTGGAAAAGGAGGCAGGCCTTGAACTTTGAGCCTTGGGAACCTGGGTCTCTGAAAAGGGCCTTACCCTTACTCTTCCCATGGGGCCATCCTGGACCATCAGTTGTCCCTTTTACAGCTGTAACTGCTGCTCTGTGACCCCATCCACGTACTGTGTTGCTGGCACAATCAGGCATTGTGCCCCTAAGTAAACAGCCCTGGGACAGAATAAAACTGGTATTGTAGGGTCAACATATAGGAGCCCTATTTGGCTGGTATTTGTTTGGGACCAGATAAACTAACCCCACCAGGCTTCACACCCTCCAAAAAATGGCCCCTTGATGCTGTGATCTTGCTACACCTGCCCCAGTGAAGGCCCCAGGAGGTGGTGACAGGGTTAGGCAGGATTCTGTAGGGGGATGTCACAGAGGGCACGCTCAGGTCGGGGACCACCCTCTCCCAGCGCCAAGTGTGTCTTCAAGCCTCTTCATCAGGGAGGCCTTCCTTGACCTCTGCTCTGCTTTCCTGCCTTGTCCTCCTTCCATACTCTTGTGACTTTGAGATGGTCCCTCTTGGTCGCACTGAAACTGCATCTAAAGATGATGGGTGTGTTCATTTCACTGTTGGCTTGCGCCTCTGCTAGACTCCCAGCTCTGAGATGGTAGGAGCTCTCTGCTGAGGTCTCACTTCCTGGCACAGTGTCTGGCACATAGCCGGTGTCAGTAAATCTGTCATTGCATGAATGAATCGACTAATGAATGAAAGAAGGCTTGTTCAGCCACTGATTTGCTCTGGGTGCTCCTTGAAGGAAACCTGAGGTCCTGGGCACTGTGCCCCTGCTCTCCGGAGGGTGTGAGGGTCACATCTCTGCAGGGTCAATGCTGGATTGAACACACAGGGTGGCTGTCCCACAAAGGTGTCTATGCTGCGGTGCCCACCCACCAGGCCTTGGTGCCTCATTTGCCCACATTTCCACATGGCCTATCTAAGGTATGTGGGGTCCAGAAAGGCCATTCGTCCCGTCTGTGTTCATCAGCGTCAGGGTCTGATGGCATTTCACCTGCACCAGCCTGTCTTGCTTATTGACCAGGGTGACTGCTGTCCTTGAATATGTCTCTTTCAAGTGGAGGCTCAGTGTCACATCACTGTCCTCTCTCTGAGGCTCTGGGGCTCCATTTCTGATATTGAGTCTGTCTGTTTCTCTCGGGAATAGCTCACCTCTGGGAGGGTGTCTCTGGCACTAGGGACTCTGTGTTTCTGTTCGTGACAGTGAGTCCCTGTCTCCTTAGACCCTTGGGGCCCCTCGGGCTCTGGTTAATTTCCTGGCCACTGTGGGAGGGAGGTGGAAGGAGCGTGGCACTTATTAAGGGACTTACTTAACCAAGGGACTTGCAGAGCCAGTTCCAGCTTGGGCCTGGGGTCCCACGGGGGGCTGTCCTCAGCGGAGCCCAGGCCACCAGCCCAGTTGCACAGGCCCCGAATTCTTTCCTGGGGCAATTCCCTGCATCCGCCTCTCCTGACCTTCAGCCCCCTTCTCCCTGTCCAGAGATCCTTCTCCCTCCCACCTTTTCTGGAGCCACTCCCTCTATTTCCCTAGCAGAGTCTGTACTGAGAGTCTGGCACGAGGCCTTCCCTAACTCAGGGCCCAGCACTCCCTAGCTGTGGCCCAGGTCAGGTCCCCAGGGCCCCTCCCCAGCCATGGGTAGTATAGCTGGCTCCCCAGGCCCTCCCACCCAGAGTCCCAGAATGCCTTCCCCAGGTCTGGTCCAGCTCAGCTGCTCTCCCATTTCCCCCCAGTCCTGACCACTCTGTGCCCCCAGGAAGAAGCCTTCAGCGGGGGGGAGGGGTCTAGCCTCCCCTCCCCCGCAGTCGCCTGCCCACAGGCAGCGTGCTCAGCCTGGTGATGTGGTAGGCGATGGGTGGGGGGGCTGTCTGGACACAGGCCCCTTTGTGCCCAGCCTGACTTGGCTGCTTGGTATGAGGCTCAGCTGCTCCCAGATCCTTACCCAGAGGGGCGAGGGGAGGTTTTGGAGGAACTTGGGGGCTCTTGGCCCTAGCTCCCTCTTCCATGTCCCACCTCCTGGACGCTCGCAGCAGCTCCTCAGGTGGGCTGGTACACCTGGCACTGGGTGCTGTGGGGCTGGTGAGGGAGGCTCTGCTTGGCGCCCTCTGGCAGCCACTCCTCCCTGCTTCCCTCCTCTGCCAGGCCTGCCCGAGGCTCCTGCCAGCAGAGGGGAAGCCCGGGGAGGGGTGTTGGAGGGTCCATGGTGTCCCTGCTGGGGGAGGCCCAGAAGATCAGGCACGGAGCACAAATGCCTTGCTGATGGTAGCTTCTCTCCTGTCCCCACAGAATGGTGCTGTGCCCAGCGAGGCCACCAAGAGGGACCAGAACCTCAAACGGGGCAACTGGGGCAACCAGATCGAGTTTGTACTGACGAGCGTGGGCTATGCCGTGGGCCTGGGCAATGTCTGGCGCTTCCCATACCTCTGCTATCGCAACGGGGGAGGTACCCAGCGGGCACAGGGCAGGGACCACCCACTTGGGTAAAGCCCACCCACCAGGGCTTGGGCTACCCTCTCCCTGGCACAGACCCACTCCAGATAAAGGCTGGCCTCTGGCCCTGGCCTCCTTTGCCCCTGTCCCTGGCTTAGGCACGCTTTGCCTAAGGCAGGCCACCCCAGGCCCTAGCAGTCTGTTGTTCGAGCCTGGACCTGCCAGCTGGTCCCCTTTCAGGTGAGGAGAGGTGAGAAAAGGACCCAACCTCCCCAGGGCTCCCTGTTCTATTCCCTGGGGTTCAGCAGCCCCCAAATGGTTCAGGAATATTTGAGGATCTCAGCAACTTATGTTTGTGAAATCGCTTGGTTCAACCATCCAATCCCACCCAAGTATGATGGCTCTGGGGCCTGGATTCTACTCTGAGCAGATTTCCTGGGAGCCTCTGACAAGTTCAAAGACAGGCTGGGGGTGGTGTGCCTCAGCCCAGGCTCCTGCTCAAGGCCTGGCACACTCCTTGGGTCCCACCCAATCATGAAGGTTTTGCTGTTGGGTTCTGAGCAGGAAGCCCAGGGTAAGATCCCCCCAAGCCCACTCCTGAGCCAGACCTCTCCCTGCCTCCCAGGCGCCTTCATGTTCCCCTACTTCATCATGCTCATCTTCTGCGGGATCCCCCTCTTCTTCATGGAGCTCTCCTTCGGCCAGTTTGCCAGCCAGGGGTGCCTGGGAGTCTGGAGGATCAGCCCCATGTTCAAAGGTGAGGCCTGGGAGGGCCACTTGCTCACACACACAAACACAATGGCCTCTAAGGGCTGTGTCAACTCGCCCATCTGCACAAACACGGCTGACCTCTGTAGAACCCCGATGCTGACCCCAAGCCCCACATCAATAGCCTAAGCCATGGATGCATGCTGGGACCCTTGTTTACTTGGCCTCCACCCTCCCCGCCTACCACACGTACACACAAAACTCCTTTGCGCCCCCCACCAACTTACCCCTACCAAGACCTTGACCTGGGCTTCCTGTGGCCCTCCATCAAAGCCTACCCCTTGCGCCCTTAGAAATGATTAAACCTCACTTCCTCCTGCTGGATGTGTGAGGCTGCTCCCCGCACCCCTCCCCTCCTGCAGGCGTAGGCTATGGCATGATGGTGGTGTCCACCTACATCGGCATCTACTACAATGTGGTCATCTGCATCGCCTTCTACTACTTCTTCTCGTCCATGACGCACGTGCTGCCCTGGGCCTACTGCAATAACCCCTGGAACACGCGCGACTGCGCCGGGGTGCTGGACGCCTCCAACCTCACCAATGGCTCCCGGCCGGCCGCCTTGCCCAGCAACCTCTCCCACCTTCTCAACCACAGCCTCCAGAGGACCAGCCCCAGCGAGGAGTACTGGAGGTGAAACACCCTCGAGACCCAGGGTGGGGGGAACCTGGGAGCGACCCTCTCCCCATGGGGCAGCCATCTGCAGAATAGGTCAGGTGCCTGCTGCAGGTTGAGCCCTCTTCTGGGCTGGGGGCGGGAGGCGAGTGAGGAAGTTTAGGAGAAAGAGCCTGATATGCAGAAAACAATGGAAGATGGAATGTTGAGTGGCAGGATCTTTACAAAGCAGCCATTAGGAAGGCCCTCAGAAGTCCAGCACACCTTCAGAGGAGACTCAGGGGAAATGGGAAGGGATCCTGGGGAGAAGAAGTGTGTGGGCAAAGGTCCTGTCCCAGATGAGTAGAGGCTGGCCCCAGCTGAAGGGAGCCTGTGCTGATGAGAGTAACAGGTTTGGGGAGGCCAGGCAAGGTGGCTCACACCTGTAATCTCAGCACTTTGGGAGGCTGAGGCGGGCAGATCACCTGAGATCAGGAGTTCGAGACCAACCTGACCAACATGGAGAAACCCCGTCTTTACTAAAAATGGTGGTGCATGCCTGTAATCCCAGCTACTTGGGAGGCTGAGGCAGGAGAATTGCTCGAACCCGGGAGGCCGAGGTTGCGGTGAGCCAAGATCTCGCCATTGCACTCCAACCTGAGCAACAAGAGCAAAACTCCATCTCAAAAAAAAAAAAAAAAGAGAGAGAGAGAGAGAGTAATCGGTGTGGGGAGAATGCATGGCTTCAGGGTGGTCTAGGAGGTGGCACTGCCTTGGTAAAGAACTTACAAGGGTTAGGCTTAGGCTTCATGCTGCAGAACAAAATAAACCATGGGAGGTCTCTGAGCCAGGACATTTTGTTCAGAGGTGACAAAGACCAGAGTCTCAGGCCATCCTGCTGTGCCCTCCACCCACTAGTTAAAAATTTCCCGTCTCCTACTGGGGAACCCCTGGGCAGAGGGCTTTTGGGGCAGGCAGGCAGGACTCCACCATTCATTCCACAACATTCACGGCTCTGCTCTGCCAGGCCCTGTGTGCCCGTGGTGGGTATGAACAGCCCCACAGCCCCTGTCCTAAGGTGCTCACAGGGCACTGGGGAGACAGATTGCTAATCACAGTAGGGCAGGTGCTTCGGCCCAGGGGTGTCACGAAGACCCAAAGGGATAGTGCTTGGTGCTAAGGGGATGGGGCAGGAGCAGGCGGTCAGGGCCTACCAGAGAAGAGAGAGGGGAAGCCAGGCCTGGTGGCTCACACCTGTAATCCCAGCACTTTGGGAGGCTGAGGCAGGTGGATCACGAGGTCAGGAGTTCAAGAGCAGTCTGGCCAACATGGTGAAACCCTATCTCTACTAAAAATACAAAAATTAGCCGGGCGCAGTGGTGGGCGCCTATAATCCCACTTACTTGGGAGGCTGAGGCAGGAGAATCACTTGAACCCGGGAGGCAGAGGTTGCAGTGAGCTGCGACTGGACCACTGCACTCCAGCCTGGGTGATAGAGTGAGACTGTCTCAAGAAAAAAAAAAAGGGAGAGGGGAAAGTAGAGAGATTGGGAGCCACATGAGCAGGTGAGCAGAGGCCAGAGGAGGCAAGCTGGAGCTGGGGTTGGAGCAGGTGGGATGCTGAGTGGTAAGACAGAAGAGGCCAGCAGGCATCATATCACAGGGCCTCCCATGCCAGGGTAGGGGCTTGAGGCTTTCTCCACGTAATGGAGAGCCATGGCTGAAATGGACGAGTGTCTCAGGATACTGCAAGTCACCGCAGGTCTTCTAAGCCCAGTCCCGAGTGCTCTGACCCTGAATCACCCAGCTTCCCTGTACCAGCCTCTGTGCTGGGCCATAGACACGCAAAGATGGGTAAGGCATGGTCGCTATTCTCAAGGACCCACAGCTGCTGTCCGTTGGAGAGACATGGGCAGACTCAGGAACTCAGTCACTGGACAGGTCATTTCTGTTTTATTTTTTAATTTTTAACATTCTAACATTTATTTTCTTTTGTAAAAAAAATACTTGGAACTGAACAGACAGATGATTTCTTTTTTATTATTTTTTATTTTTTTGAGATGGAGTCTCAATCTGTTGCCCAGTCTGGAGTGTAGTGGTGTGATCGCAGCTCATGGCAATCTCTGCCTCCTAGGTTCAAGCAATTCTCCTGCCTCAGCCTCCCTAGTAGCTGGGATTACAGGCACCCACCACCACACCCAACTAATTTTTGTATTTTCAATAGATACGGGGTTTCACCATGCTGCTCAGGATGGTCTAGATCTCCTGATCTCGTGATCCATCTGCTTTGGCTTCCCAAAGTGCTGGGATTACAGGCATGAGCCATCACACCTGGCCTAATTTTTGTAGTTTTAATAGAGATGGGGTTTCACCACGTTGGTCAGGCTGGTCTCAAACCCCCGACCTCAGGTGATCCACCCGCCTCAGCCTCCCAAAGTGCTGGCATTACAGGCATGAGTCACCACGCCCGGCCGATTTCTTGAGCACCTACTAGATAACGGGTACTGTTCTCAGAGGGGAGAGAGGGCAGGGAGGAAGATGCTGTCCTCACGGAGCTCCTGTCTGACGGGAGAACGAGATTTTATCCAGTAAAATCAGATATTGCCTAGTTAGGCGTTTCAACTACATTTGAGGCATGATGTCGACTGGGCAACTTGAGCTAGTCTGGGGTGATGAACCTTCCTGGAATCTCCCAGAAACACAAAGCCTCGTGCACCCCCACCCCCACCCCCAGATGCTCCAGTGGTGTTTGTCCCAGGGGCCGTCTGCCAGAGATTCCCAGTTCTGGGCCCACCCACGGCAGAGCTCTAGAGATTTTATCCAGTAAAATCAGAGGGGAAGAGCCTTCAAAGAAATCTGGCTGGTAGAGCCGCTGCACTCTATTCCCCAGGAGGAGCTGGAATCAGGCCTGCCTAACTGGCCGCTGTCCCAAGCAGGACACCTTTCCAGCAGCACGGCTCCCTGCTGCCCTCTCCTGGAGAGTCTGGGAAATGAGCCTGACAGTAACCCAGGCTGGCTTCCGCAAGGGAGGAAAGGAAGCACTCTTATTTTTGAGCACCTCCTATATACCCGGCATATTATGTAAACAGATGTTAGTATCCATATTTTCAGATTCAGAGACTGCCGTTTGGAGGTTAAGGAGCTAGGCAGTAGTCGCTGTGTCAGAATCTGTGTGCATCCAGGCTTGGTGGCTCACACCTGTAATCCCAGCACTTTAGGAGACTGACGTGGGCAGATCACGAGGTCAGGAGTTTGAGACCATCCTGCCCAAATGGTGAAACCCTGTCTCTACTAAAAATACAAAAAAAAAAAAAAACAAAAATTAGCCAGCTATGGTGGCACATGCCTGTACAGCTACTCAGAAGGCTGAGGCAGGAGAATTGCTTGAACCTAGGAGGCGGAGGTTGCAGTGAGCTGAAATCATGCCACTGGGCGACAGAGTGAGACTTCGTCTCAGGAATAAAAGAAAGAAATAGGGGTCCTATTCTCAAGGCACTCACCACCTGGCTGGGGAAATAAGATATGTAATATAGATAAAACTTTTAAGCAATGCAGAATAATTCTGGAGATGTCATGTGTCAAGAGGCCACTTGTAAATATGTTGGGTACCACATGTCCTTAGGTTGTTTGAGCTCAAAATCATGTGGTCCCAAACCAAACAAAAAACAGAATATGGTGCTATAAAATTAAAGCTAGAATTCATCATTTGGTATCCAGGCTAGCCTTTTAAACTCTTCAATCCCTAACCTTGCAATGCTGTATTCTTGCAATAAAAAATAATATAGGCCAGGTGCGGTGGCTCACGCCTGTTGTAATCCTAGCACTTTGGAAGGCCAAGGCAGGAGGATCACTTGAGCCCAGAAGTTCAAGACCAGCCTGGGCAATATGGCATTACCACATCTCTACAAAAAAATACAAAAATTAGCTGGGCCTGATGGTGCACACATGTAGCCCCAGCTACTTGGGAGGCTGAGGTGGGAGGATCAATTGAGCCTGGGAGGTTGAGGCTGCAATGAGCCGTGGTTGTGCCATTGCACTCCAGCCTGGGCTATGGAGTGAGACCCTGTCTCAATAATAATAATGATATAAAACATGAATAATAAGACAGAAGAGGCTAACAGCCATCACATAATACAGGGCCTCCCAGTGTGACAGTGATGTCCCAGGAGTCTGTGGGGACTCAGGCAGCTTAGGGTCACTTAAAAATGCCCAGAACGGACCAGAAAAGAAGTTGGGGACCAGGTTCAGTGCTTCACACCATAATCTTACACATGGTGGCTACTGAGACCTACCTGTTTAGCATGTATGGTTAGACAAAGTATTAAAAAATCCTTCAGGCCAGGCTTGGTGGCTCACACCTGTAATCCCAGCACTTTGGGAGGCTGAAGTGGGCAGATCACCTGAGGTCAGGAGTTCAAGACCAGCCTGCTGACATGGTCCAACCCCGTTTCTACTAAAAATACCAAACTTAGCCAGTTGTGGTGGCACGCACTTGTAATCCTAGCTACTTGGGAGGAGAATCGCTTGAACCCAGGAGGCAGAGGTTACAGTGAGCCAAGATAGCACCAATGCACTCCAGCCTGTGTGACAGAGCAAGACTCTGTCTCAAAAACAAAACAAAACAAAAAATCCTTCTAACAAGAAATGGTTTCTTTACTTTGAAAGTGAAGTTAGTGGTGCTGGAGGTGGAGCAGTTCTCTTCTGCCCTCTTCCCTGAGGGCCAGGGAGATGCCCCTGTAGACCTGTATGCCCAGCACCTAGCTCAGGGCCCGGCAGTGTGTCTGGTTGATCAAAAGATCACAGCTGGTATGGCATAGGGTGCCAGGTAGAGCCACCAGAGGGGAGAAATTTGGGTCCAATCTGTTTTTTTGTTTCTTTTTCTTTCTTTTTTTCTTTTTTTTTTTTTTTTGAGATAGAATCTTGCTCTGTCACCCAGACTGGAGTGCAGTGACGCAATTTCAGCTCACTACAACCTCCATCTACCAGGTTCACGTGGTTCTCCCGCCTCGGTCTTCTGAGTACCTGGGATTACAGGCACCTGCCATCACGCCCAGCTAATTTTTGTATTTTTGTAGAGATGGGATTTCACCATGTTGGCCAGGCTGGTCTTGAACTCCTGACCTCAGGTGATCCGCCTGCCTCAGCCTCCCAAAGTGCTGGGATTATAGGCGTGAGCCACCGTGCCCTGCCAGGGTCCAATCTTTACTCAGCACTCCACTGCCTCCCTCAGTTTATCAGAGGTAGAGTTGATTGGTGCTGATGAAATGCTGACTTGTGACTTCCTGGAGGAAGTGACGCCTGACAGGGTAAGGAAAAGGCACTACTGAGGGAGAAATGTGCCAACAAGGACCTGGGCTGAGCCTGGCTGGGGACAAGGACCCATCTCCGCTCCCACCTCCTTGGGTGGGACTGGGACGACCACCCAAGCCTGGGGTGTGGCCTCCAGGAACCCTTGAAGGGCCTGGGAGAGTCTGCAGAGCAGTAGACTGTGTTGGGTCCCCAGGGGCTATAGCAGGTAGGCCCATGAAACAGTTTCCATCTCACACAAGGTGGCTGCTAGGACCTCATGACAAAGGAGGGTCCTGGGCCTTGGGAATGTGCTGCTGGGCAGTGGGGGCTGGCCCTCAGTGACAGTCTCCCCTTCCCAGGCTGTACGTGCTGAAGCTGTCAGATGACATCGGGAACTTTGGGGAGGTGCGGCTGCCCCTCCTTGGCTGCCTCGGTGTCTCCTGGGTGGTCGTCTTCCTCTGCCTCATCCGAGGTGTCAAGTCTTCAGGGAAAGCAAGTACCCCTTCCCCAGCGGGATCTGTGCCCACATAGAAAGGCCCTGCCCCCTGCCTGGGTTGCGTGTGTGTTTCGGGAAGGGAATGCTAAAGGGACTCTGGAGAGGGAGAGGGACGAGGTGCTGGTGGTGATTAGGGAGCCAGAGTGGTGGTGCCCAGGGCAGGGGAGAACCTGTAAGAGTCCATGGAACCCTCTCGTGCCAGGTGGTGTACTTCACGGCCACATTCCCCTACGTGGTGCTGACCATCCTGTTTGTCCGTGGAGTGACCCTGGAGGGAGCCTTCACGGGCATCATGTACTACCTAACCCCACAGTGGGACAAGATCCTGGAGGCCAAGGTGAGATGTTAGGGAAACCAGAAGGGGGTCGGGGAGGGCCCGGGGAGGTGCCTGCCTCTGCCCACAGCTCCTCACCTGCCCGTCCTCCCTGCAGGTGTGGGGTGATGCCGCCTCCCAGATCTTCTACTCGCTGGGCTGTGCATGGGGAGGCCTCATCACCATGGCCTCCTACAACAAGTTCCACAACAACTGCTACCGGTGAGCGCTCTGAAGCCTGAGGCCGCCCCTCCCTGCCCTCTCTGCAGCCTGATCCCAGCTCCAGTGCCCCCGTGGCCCACCAGGCCTCCTTTCCCCTCATGGCCTTGAGGTTCTAAGAACACTGGTTCTGGATAAAGTTGTTGCAGAATGGGGAGAGAGAGGCTTAGGCAGGAGAGAGAAGAGTGATGGAGAGTCCCAGGGGTCTGTGAGGACCAGGCAGCTCAGGCTCACTTAAAAATGCCCAGGACAGATCAGAAGAGGAGCTGGGGACCAGGCTCAGTGCTTCACACCGTAATCCCAGCACTTTAAGAGGCCAAGACGGAAGGATCACTTGAGCCCAGGAATTCAAGACAAGCCTGGGCAACATAGTGAGACCCCATCTTTCTTTTTTTTTTTTTTTTTGAGACGGAGTTTCACTCTTGTTACCCAGGCTGGAGTGCAATGGCACGATCTCGGCTCACCGCAACCTCCACCTCCTGGGTTCAGGCAATTCTCCTGCCTCAGCCTCCTGAGTAGCTGGGATTACAGGCACGCGCCACCATGCCCAGCTAATTTTTTGTATTATTAGTAGAGACGGGGTTTCACCATGTTGACCAGGCTGGTCTCGATCTCTTGACCTCGTGATCCACCCGCCTCGGCCTCCCAAAGTGCTAGGATTACAGGCTTGAGCCACCGCGCCCAGCCTGAGACCCCATCTTTCTTTACAAAACATAAAAATGAAAATTAGCTGGGTGTGGTGACACATACCTATAGTCTCAGCTACTCAGGAGGCTGAGGTGGGAGGATTGCTTGAGACCAAGAGATCAAGGCTATAGTGAGCTGATAGCACCACTGCCCTCCAGCCTGGGCAACAGAGTGAGACCCTGTCTCTCACCCCAAAAAAAGGAGCTGGGGATGCCTTTGTTTCTAGAACTTTCCTTGTCTCCATGTCTCCTCTTGGCCCAAACTGGGGAGAGGGGAGCTGAACTCTCTCTGTTTTCCTCCCCATCAGGGACAGTGTCATCATCAGCATCACCAACTGTGCCACTAGTGTCTATGCTGGCTTCGTCATCTTCTCCATCCTTGGCTTCATGGCCAATCACCTGGGTGTGGATGTGTCCCGTGTGGCAGACCACGGCCCTGGCCTGGCCTTTGTGGCTTACCCCGAGGCCCTCACGCTGCTTCCCATCTCCCCGCTGTGGTCTCTGCTCTTCTTCTTCATGCTCATCCTGCTGGGGCTGGGCACTCAGGTACGAGGTGTGGGACGTGGGCCGAAGGGTTGGGGAAGGGAGGGGACAGGAACAAGGGACAGGTCCGCAATCTGACAGCCACATCCTACAGTTCTGCCTCCTGGAGACGCTGGTCACAGCCATTGTGGATGAGGTGGGGAATGAGTGGATCCTGCAGAGAAAGACATATGTGACCTTGGGAGTGGCTGTGGCTGGCTTCCTGCTGGGCATCCCCCTCACCAGCCAGGTAAGAGCCGAGTAAGGGAAGGGCTGCACCAGAGTTGCCAGGACGTATGGGGAAGGTGGGGGAGCCCGGGCTGCAGGCACCTCCCACAGCCGTCCACTGTTCCCCAGGCAGGCATCTACTGGCTGCTGCTGATGGACAACTACGCGGCCAGCTTCTCCTTGGTGGTCATCTCCTGCATCATGTGTGTGGCCATCATGTACATCTACGGTGAGCACTTGAGCCACTGGCCTTCTGTGACCCAGCCCCTGGCCCGCCCACTCTGTCCTGTGGGCCTGCTGACCCCTCCTCTCTCCAGGGCACCGGAACTACTTCCAGGACATCCAGATGATGCTGGGATTCCCACCGCCCCTCTTCTTTCAGATCTGCTGGCGCTTTGTCTCTCCTGCCATCATCTTCGTGAGTTCCCTGGCCGGCCCCTCCCCCTCCCCGCCCCTTGGCTATGTGTCCTTCTTTGGGACCCAGCAAGGGGAGAGCAGGAACCCCTGCACCTGGCTGGAGCTCCACACCCATGACTGGAGGCTGAGGGAGGTTGGAGAGAGCTGGAGAGGCACGTGGAGACTCAGCACCGCCCGGGCCCTGGCCTCGGGTTAGGAGGGAGTGCCTCGGCCTGTATTTGACTGCAGACATTGCTTAGGCTCGGAGGGGGAAAGCGGCTGGTGGCAGCTCCCTCCCTGGCGTTCCTGCCCGGCACCCCTGATTATCAGGAGTCAGTACTGATAGCGTGTCAGCCTCTGCCTGCTGGCCTCATTTCCTGTCCCTCTAGGGAGAGTGTTCCAGGGGCTTGGCAATGTGGTGGGAACCAGCATTCCAGCAGCAGCCCAAGGACAGTAGACCAGGCTGTAGGAGTCAGATGTCAGCTCTGCATGGTGGCAACTTTGCAAGCCTTCCAGGCAGTGAGGTGGGCTGGCTTGGGAGGGGGAGTTCCAGGTTTTAGGAATATTCAACAGCTGAGAAACTCCCATCAGGGAGCCGAATTGGTGAAAAGAATTCACCATGGAAGGAAGCAGGCACTTTACACACACTGTTCCCATGTAACCCATGATACAGCTCTCCTAGATGTCATTGTTATCCCGTTTTACAGATGAGGAAACTGAGGCACAGGGATGTTAAGTAATTGGCCCATAGTCACACAGCTAATAAGAAGTAGAGCTGGCCAGGCGCAGTGGCTCACACCTGTAATCCCAGCACTCTCAAAGGCCAAGGTGGACGGATCATGAGGTCAGGAGTTCGAGACCATCCTGGCTAAAACGGTGAAACCCCATCTCTACTAAAAATACAAACAGTTAGCTGGGCGTGGTAGCACATGCTTGTAATCCTAGCTACTCTGGAGTCTGAGGCAGGAGAATCTCTTAAACCCAGAAGGCGGAGGTTACAGTGAGCCAAGATCATGCCACTGCACTCAAGCCTGGGCGACAGAGCGAGACTCTGTCTCAAATAAATAAAAAAAAAAACAAAAACGGCCAGGCGCGGTGGCTCAAGCTTGTAATCCCAGCACTTTGGGAGGCTGAGGCGGGTGGATCACGAGGTCGAGAGATCGAGACCATCCTGGTCAACATGGTGAAACCCCGTCTCTACTAAAAATACAAAAATTTAGCTGGGCATGGTGTCATGTTCCTGTAATCCCAGCTACTCAGGAGGCTGAGGCAGGAGAATTGCCTGAACCCAGGAGGCGGAGGTTGCGGTGAGCCGAGATCGCGCCATTGCACTCCAGCCTGGGTAACAAGAGCGTAAACTCCGTCTCAAAAAAAACAAAAACAAAAACAAAAACAAAAAAAGAAGTAGAGCCATGATTCAAATCGGGTAGTCCAATTTCAAGCCTACACACTGGGCCAGTGCCACACTAGAACCGCCTCTGCAGGAGGCAGGAAGGGTCCGGGGCTAAAACCATATGACTTGGCTCCTTCCTGTTTGGGGTGGGATTCGGGGAAGGCAGGTATTGACAGTGTAATGGTCACTCCACAGAGGACAGGCAGGGCCACCTCTGAGTGACAGTCAGAGGGCTGGCCCAGTGGCCAGGGCAGTGTTCGGAGTCACACTCCTGTCATGTTCAATGCCTCGGTGGCACAGGAGGCTCAGCCCCAGACTTCCCCTGTGGTTCATGTTTCTGAATAAAGGCCTGCGGAGGGCTGGGGCCTCCCTTCATAGGGTATGGGATATTCCCGAGCCTGGCACAGGCTCCCCCTCTGGCCACTGGCCCAGCTTTGAAACAGGAGTAGCGGAAGTCTCAGTGGTGGGAGGCTGGGGAGGGCAGGCACCACCACCCCAGAATGCCGTGACCTCTGGGGCTGTGGCCCTAGGGGAGCACAGCATTCTCGGCTCAGAGGGTCTCCCAGCATTCATACTAGACTGACGTCCTGGCACCTGCCAAGGGCAGTGGGGAGGAAGGAAACAAGCAAAGAAGGGTCTGTCGGGACCTCAGCTGGGATCTGATCCACAAGATCGAGGCACAGTGGGCAGGGCCCTTCCTGTGCCCAGAAAGCAGGCTGGAGTTGCCTTTAGGGAAACCTAGAGTCTTCCCTTTGGGGTAACTCCAGCCTGGCTTTCTGGGCTGTTGTGTTTTCTCTGGGGCTTTCCTTGTTCATATTTCTGAAAAGCGCTTTTTGACAAACTCCACCATTCTGTCAGCTCAAATGAGGGATCTGTCCACACGTGGGTCAGGATCTGTTGTTCCATTCAGGAAATCTCTTACAGGTTCCCAGTGTGTGCAGCATCCCAGGAGGGCCCCCCAGTTTGGATGTGGGTTTTGCATTCTAGAATATGGCCCTGTGCTCCAGGACGTGGCTGGGGGCTCAGGAGGAGGGTGCTGGGACACCCACCCCAGCTCTCTGGGTGGCCTGCCCACCACTGCCTGCTGTCACTCCTTTCATTGCTGCAGCCACAAGTTTTATTTCCAGTCTCACCCATCTCTTTCCAAAGGCTCCCTAGAGCACCACAGCCTGACATTCACCATTTCCAGCCTGGGGAGCTTCCCTGGGCTGAATGTCACTGTCCACGGTAGTGACATTCAGAGAGTAGCTTCGCCTTACCCTCTTCCATCTTCCTCTGCCTGTCTGCACACATCAGTTGAAATCAACACAAGAGACTGTGCCAGGCACTGTAGTGGGCACTGCACACCCAGAGCTCATGCAATCCCAGGAGCTCCCAGGTCTATGGAAACATTAAATCCAGTAACTCTAAGGGAAGCAGATGGAAAATACCATGGAGAGGACCTGCAGAAGGGCATAGGGGAAATCTGGGATGGCAGCTTGAAGGAGAGGGCACTGGCATAGGGTTTGGCAGAGGAAGATGCAGAGGATGATTCCCCAGAATAAACAAAGAGAGGGTGGGAACACTGGGTGTGACTTAAACACCAAGGGCAGGATAGTGTGGCCAGCAGGACAATTTGAGGTCACACTGCCAGGAGCCTGCCTTAGGCCCAGGACGTGGCCTTACTTTAGTGGGCCACAGGGAGCCATAGCCAGTCTTTGAGCAGAGCTGACTGACTTCCAAAGGCAGTAGCTGTTTGCTCTCGAGCCAGGTCAGGACTGTGGTGAAAACAGACTTCTCCCGCCAGTCTTCCCGCCCACAGTGCCCCGGGCCCCACCCACTTCTTCCACGGCCCAGATGTTGACAGCTATCTGTTCTACCCAAATGCCCTTCTAGTTTGGGAACCAGAGAGGGAAGGGTGCTGGTGGAGGGCTGGCCTGGGGTCTGGGCTCTGGGCCGGCCTGACACCCACTCCCACCTCCACCCCCATGCAGTTTATTCTAGTCTTCACTGTGATCCAGTACCGGCCGATCACCTACAACCACTACCAGTACCCAGGCTGGGCTGTGGCCATCGGCTTCCTCATGGCTCTGTCCTCCGTCCTCTGCATTCCCCTCTACGCCATATTCCGGCTCTGCCGCACAGACGGGGACACCCTCCTCCAGGTGAGGGCGGGGGCAGGCTGGGTAGCCAGGCAAAATGGGAGGGGCCTGCTGGAAGGGGCTTAAGGGCTCCCTCCTGACGTGCCCTGTCCCTGTGCCCCATGCCCACCTCATGCAGCGTTTGAAAAATGCCACAAAGCCAAGCAGAGACTGGGGCCCGGCCCTCCTGGAGCACCGGACTGGGCGCTATGCCCCCACCATAGCCCCTTCTCCTGAGGATGGCTTCGAGGTCCAGCCGCTGCACCCGGACAAGGCCCAGATCCCCATCGTGGGCAGTAATGGCTCCAGCCGCCTCCAGGACTCCCGGATATGAGCACAGCTGCCGGGGGAGTGGCCCCACCCCCACCCCGTGCTCCCACCGCAGAGACTGGTGAGGCAGAGGACAGGTGTCTCTGTCTGCCCCCTGCCACGTCCTGGCCAGGATGGCTGCTGTCACCTTGGTCACCACTGCTAGTGCAGTCATTTGTGCTCGTGTCCCCAGTGTTTACACGTCCTCTGGATGCCAAGATGGCAGCTGGGGGTGGGGGCGGGAATGGAGGGTTGCTGGGAGGTCCAAAGCACTTTGGAGGGGTCTCAGGCCAGCTCCCCAGTGGCCTGAGGGGCTTTACGTGGCCTCTGATACCCTTATACTCTGCCCTGAGCTGAGGTTCTGGGTGGGCCCCCAGCTGTCTCCTTCCCGGGCCTCCAGCCCCATGACAAGCATTCCCGCCCTCACAGCAGACCCCAGCCTCTGCCAGGCACATTTGGCTCCTCCTCCCTAGGGGCAGGGTGAGGGTGGGGGCTGCACAGTGTTACTCGTCAGGCTGTACTGCCCGGCTCTGCCGATCTGTGTAATTATTTTTGTAAAAATTGTGCTGTCTGTGGTCGCCACTTCTTCACCCCAGCCTCTGGCCCAGTCTGTCTTCCAGGCCTGCCTGCGCCTCACTGGGCTGCTCCGGGGCCTCTGCCCCTCATTCCAGCCCTGGCTGTCAGGCCCAGCTAGCAGAGGCCCAAGACCCAGCAGCCTGCCCAAAGCATTGGTTTCTGGGGGATGGGGCGGGGGCTGCTCCACAGGAGGTCTGAGCCCATCCCCCCAGGGAAGGGGAGCCTGCACACCCCCCTCACCCTCCCTCCACCAGGCTAAAGGCCTATTCCCAAATGTGCTGCCCTTGTTCATGTGCCAAATGGCCCCAGCCCACATGCCCTTACCCTCTCTGGAGCAGGAGCTCCTTCTGAGGTGTCCAAAGCCCTGAAGTGTCCATTTGTCCGTCCTCTGTGCAGTGACAGCCCCAGCCACACCACCTCTGATCCTCTGTAGCAATAACGGTGCACCGCCCATCCCTGCCCATTGTGCACCACTAGCATTTTAAAGTCCATAGATTTTAATGAAATTTCTATTCCTGTCTCTGAGCGGCTGCTGTGTTTTGTCTGGGTCCCCCAGGGGACAAGAGTCAGGCTGGAATGGGACCTCTGTCTTCCAGGCCTTTGTGGAGGCTTGGGAGGAGAAAGGCCAAAGGCTTTGATGACTGGGACAGACACCAAGGATCTGAGAGGGTAGGGCAAGGGCCAGACAGACGAACAGCCTTGGGGTCCTGGCGAGAGCTCATCAAAGACCAGATCTGAAGCCGGCTGGGCCAAGGCAGCTGAGGTGGCAGCGGCAGATGGGCACGTCCTGGCATAAGCTGGAGCCCACTTGGTGACCAGCCCTTCAGGCTGGGGCCTGGGGCACTGTGCTGGATGTGGGCGTGGAAACTGGCCTTTCCCTGGGGCTGCACTGCAGCTGCCGTCCCCAGCGGTGGTTGGCCGCCTGGCCTCGAGGTTGGGGGCAGCGCTCCAGAGGAGGTGCAGGCAGGTGGCACTGGAGAGGGGCAGCCCGAACTCCAGCAGCCCCGCAGAGGCAAGGCAGGGGGCTGAGGCCCTGCATGGAGGACCCCGAGGGCCGCTGCCTGGAAAGGAAGGAGTAACTGTCGGGGGTGGTGGTCTGATCCTTCAGTCCTCCCTGCCCTGTGTCTACTGCTGTGGTTTACCTGCGGGTGGGAGACACGAAAGAAGGCCTCACGGACACCCACAGCTCCTGCTCCATGGCCTTCTTCTGTTCCCTTAGCTCTGAAAGAGAGATTTGGCTAAGACTGCCCAGGTCTTCTAGAGTGTGTATAAGTATGGGGCAGGAGCAGGTGTGGTGTTCTGGGGCCTCCTCCCTGTCCTCACCTGCCAGGGTGGGCTCCAAGGCTGCCTCGGAGGGATGGCAAGGCCTCATATACTCCTCTTCCAGGCAGCGCTGCAGGGAGAGCTGCATCAGTGCCCAGACTCAAGGTGGGTGGGGCAAAGCAGCGATCCCCAGGGCAGGCCCATGCAGCCCCTTCAGCCCATCCACCATGAGGGCAGCCCTGTTCTCGAGGGAACACCAGCCCTACGGAAGAGCTGAGTTTGGCGAGACAGTGGTTGGCCTGTACCCAGACTTAGGTAAAGGAAGGAGGCAAAAGACCTGGGTGGGGCCAATCCGGTAAGTTAACCTAAAACCGTTGGCCCTGGCCTTGAGGGCTCACCTAGAATCCTGGCCTTCTAGATTTTGGAGGTGCACACAAGCGCACACCCATGAGAAATGGACACAGGACTCACACAGCTTGTACATGAATCTGTGTATGCACAAGGTACATAGATCTCACCCAGGTGAGAAGCATGAGTGTCTATGCTCAGCAGTGAGGCTTGGGGCAGGGCCCAGGGCTGCAGCTCACCTGCAGGATGGGGATCTCCCTCTCCAAGGTGTGACACTCCTCCTCCAAAAGGCCCCTGGGACATGAGGGAGCAGCAGCCAGAACCCGAGACACAGGACCATGGCTCAACTGAGTCCACCACAAGGTCCTAACCTCCAGCCTCAGCAAGAGCCCCACCCAACCCCATCCCTCCTCAGCCCACACTGCCCTCTGCTGCCTGGGGGCTGCCCCAACATAGACTTCTGGCCCCTGCCAGGCTTTCTGGGCAGAAGTGTCTTCTCCTCGCCTGCCTCACCCTGGCAGGCATCCTTCTCTCTTCTGCACCGTGATCCTTCCTGCCTTCATCTTCCCCCACTTCCACTGCTTAAAATCCTCCAGGGCTACCCCCTGCATCAGAATATTTATATTTATTTTTGAGTCAGGGTCTTGCTCTGCCACCCATCGTGATTCACTGTAGCCTTGCCCTCCAGGGCTCAATCAATCCCTTCTCACCTCAGCCTCCCAAGTAGCTGGTACAGGCGTACACCAACATGCCCAGCTAATTTTTGTATTTGTTTTGGTAGAGATGGGGTTTTGCCATGTTGCCCAAGCTGGTCTCGAACTCCTGGGCCCAAGTGATCCTCTTGCCTCGGCCTCCCAAATTGCTGGGATTCTAGGCATGCATCATTGGCCACGGCATCTGTACCTGGCTGCTTACCGAGAGCAACCTCACTAGCTCCGCAGCAGCCAGCGCTTTCCACCTCTCAGCCTTACGCACATGGGTCTCCCCGCCAGGTGTACTACCCTCCTCCTCTTTCACAATCCCAGCACCTCAAGATCCATCCCTGCCTCCACGCCTGCATACACACAGGCAGGTGCCCCTCGACCTCACCTCAGGTGTCTGGCCACCCGGTCAATGTTGGACACGTTCAGTTGGTCCTTGATGATGCTGAAGTCTCTGTGACCGCTGCAGGCAATGAAGTCAGTATCATTCTCCCCATGTTGCTCACCCCAGGCCTTCAGGACCCAACATCACTTCTCCTAGACAACTGTTTCTTTTCTCATAAAGGCAATATAATCTAGTGCAAAGAGTAAGAGTTTGGGAACCTAGGTTTGCAAATGATCTCTGCCACCCTTCGTTGTGTGTGACTTCAGGCAAATCACTTATCCCTTCTGAGCTTCAGTTTCTTCTTTTCATTTGTCTTTTTTTTTTTTTTTAAGCCGGTCAAATTTAGCAGTGGGGTGTTGTATACCAACTTTAGTGGCACTAATGTTAATAAGTTCTGATAACCCACTACCATCAGACCAGCCTTTTTTTTTTTTTTTTTTTTTAAGGCAAGATCTTGCTCTGTTGCCCAGGTTGGAGTGCAGTGGTACCATCTTGGCTCACTGCAGCCTCAACCTCCCAGCTCAAGTGCTCTTCCCACATCAGCCTCCTGAGTAGCTGGTACTACAGGTGCACGTAACCACACCCGTTTAATTTTTTTGCACAGACGGGATCTCACTATGTTGCCCAAGGTTTTTTTTCCTTTTGAGACAGGGTCTTTGTCACCCAGGTTGGAGAACACAGGTGCGATCATAGCTCACTGCAGCCCCGAATTCCTGAGCTCAAGCAATTATCCTACCTTAGCCTCCCAAGTAGCTGGGAATACATGCGTGTACCATCACATCTGGCTTTTTTTTTTTTTTTTTTTTTTTTTTTTCACTTTTTGTAGAGATGGGGTCTCCCTATGTTGCCCAGGCTGATCTCAAACTCCTGGCCTCAAGCCATCCTCCCACATCAGCTTCCTAAAGTGCTGGGATTACAGGCATGAGCCACTGTGCCCGGCCTTTAATTTCTTCTTGTGCAAAATGGAGACTTTGCCCACCTCCTCAGGCTGTGTGAGGATCAGAATAAGAAGTTGCTGCCATCCACTCATGAACATTTATCTCATTCAGTCCCAGCTACAAATGTAAATACCATTTGTAGCCCTCCCCTTCAGCTCTCCCTGCCTCCCTAGCCCAGCCCTCACTCCTGTTCTCTAGGCCGGAGGAACAACTGCCTGCTGGACATAGCCTCCTTTCTTCCCTCTTCCTACAAAGCTCTTCTCTCTTTCATCTCCCTGAAAACTGCTCCTCATACTACAACACACAGATCAAACCACTCTCTCCAGGAAGCTTTGCCTGTCCCCAGGCTAGGCAGGTGTCTCCTCTGCGTTTTAGTAGCCCTCATGTGCAGATCTTTATCACAAGTGGCTGTGAAAGTCCCCAGCCCATGACTGGAATCTCTTCCATGGAGCCAGGTGCAACCCACCAGTTGCCTGGGGCCCTCTGCCAAGCAGGGACAGATCCCGCTCTCCTACCATCAGTTTACCTGGGCCCACCACCTCTCATCTGGAATACCTCCTGTTCTGGCAAATCACACCTGGGATCCTCCAAGGCAAAGCGCAGGACCCTGGGGCTATACTTGACCCAAGCTTGGGCCTGGTCCCTGCAGAAAGTGCACAGGAAGGAAGGTGAGAGGCTTCTTTCTGGAAACTACAGAAAAGGCAACCCTGGCTCCTTGTTAGGGGCAGGGCTAGCCCACCTGATGTCTGGGGAAAGGGGTCCAGGCCTGAGGCTCCCACCTGCCCTCAAAGACGGCTTTGTGGCGGAGACCCTGGAGCAACTGCCGGAGTTCCTGGCGCATGAGGTCCTTTAGGAGAGGCGGTGGTGCCAGAAGAGAAGAGGGGTCAGAGATGGGGCGGGAGCTGGGGGCTTGAGAGGATCGAGCCTCTTGGAGCAGTGCCCGTAACATCGCCACCTGCAAGGAGAGCTGGGATACCTTGCGACCGGAAAGAGGGTGACCGGAATGGTGGGGGCTAGCGGAGTGAGGGAGAGGGCGGAGTCGAACGAGAGAGGGCCAGGACAGTGAGACCCGAAAGGATCTCGGGAGTTACCCAGCAGGGCTAGGGATCCGCAGGAGGTGGGAAATCACCCGAGTCGTGGTGCAGGCCAGGGGCGTGGCCCACCTTCCCTCTCCCCACCTCCGCCCGCAGCTCCAGGCTAAGGTCCACCGCCGCCTCCCCCAGAATCCTCTTCACTTCAGGTCGCTCTCGGAGTGGAACGTGCTCCTCCACCAGCTCCCACAGCGGCGGGGAGTGCCGGAGCATGGCCCATCCGCGCCGCCGTCCCCGACTCAGACCTACGGGCCGCAGATCAGAGTGCGGGAAGAACCGCGGACCCCCCGGCCACGCCCACCAAGCTCCGCCCCTCTGCGGCCCCGCCTCCCCCAAGTCCCACTCAAGCTCTGCCGCAGGTCCCCTCGGCTGGGATTACCCCATCCAGCGCCGCCAGTCCTTGGCGCTCTCTTCTACCCGGCTTTTGGCCGACTCGGAGGCCTCAGACCCAGAAGCCGGGCAGTGGGAACCGGGAACCTAGCCCCACCTCTTCCGCGTGGCCATCACCCGGGAAACCACGCTGCGACTCTAGGCCCCGCCCTCTCCCGTGCCCAGTCCGGCGAGCGGCGCGTGCTGGCTGGGATTTCAGACTCACCGCGTAGCTCCACCGAAGCCTGACCCCAAGCGCCTTGGGCTCGGCCCTGGGCACTTTTAGTCCTCAGGGAACGTATTAAGACCTGAGAAATCTGGGCCTACTGGTTTCTTACTCCGTCGCCTCCACTGGCCCGGAGGCAGTGCAAGGACAAACTTCCCCTTAAGGCCGGTGGAAGCCTAGGGAGTGGCAGCGCTTGGAGAACCA